TGACTGTGCATGCTCTCGAATGCAAGAGTTCGCGACATGTTGTCGCAGTTTGCCGTGGCTGGTGTAAGTTGTGTTCTTGGACCTGCGGCTGTTTCTGCCCTGTTTGCCTCCCACACTGCGACACCTCCACTCAACTCATCCGTTTGTTGCCTGCCTGTGTGCTTTGTGTGTGTGTGTGTGTGTGCTTTGTGTGTGTCTGTGTGCTTTGTGTGTGTGTGTGTGTGTGTGTGCTTTGTGCGTGCGTGTGTGTGTCTGTGCGTCTGTGTTTGTGTGTGTGTGTGTGTGTGTGTGTGTGTGTGTGCTTTGTGTGTGTGTGTGTGTGCTTTTGTGTGTGTGTGTGTGTGCCAGTTGAACGCGGCTGAGGAAAAGCCGGTAAGTAAGGCTGCACCGCATCACCCTCCCCTCGCCTTTTGCCACTGCTTCCCAATTTGCACAGATCACAGCTCGGCTCACTGCTTCACAGTCCAGCAGTACCACTCACAATACAGCACTGGACATAGCTCACTCCTTCCCGACACGCTTCAAGCCACTGCAAAGTGCTTCTCCGCCCCCCCCCCCGTCTACCCTCATACACACACATGCCCGACACACTCACGTGTCTTGCTTGTTGTGCGTGCTTGTAGGCCACAGTGAAGACGATTCGTGTGCGTGGGCTTGCCAGGACGTGTGATTGGGTGGTGAAACAGAACCTCAGGCCCATCTTCCAGTCCACCACGCTTCAAGATGTGTGTGTCTTGATATACTGCACCGCTTCAACACAGCACCACACACCACTGCTCTTCACTCTCGCACTCCAGTCTGAACAGCCCCATTAGCCTCACTCACCCTTGCCCGCTTCTTCCTCGTTTCTGTGCTGTCGAATAGGTGATGGAGAACGCGCAGGCCGTATCTGGCAGACTCAAGGGCCTTGGTGTCTTTGCACAGGTTCATGCAAGAATCAACGTTGACCCAGACGTCAGAAGTACGAGCACACGCTGAGCACCTCCTCGTAACACACGGTCTCCGCTCTGGTTTGCATCAAGCATGCCTGCGCACGCATGCATCTCATACACCGTCACTCTTGCGTTCTTCAGACGGGTACATCGTGGACTACGATGTGCGTGAGTCGCGGCTGATTACTGGCAAGACTGGCGTGAAGATTGGAAACAATGAAGGCTCCGCAGATTTGCAGGTAACACGCTGGGCGGTGCCAAGTGGGGTTGTCCGGTGTGTGTCTATCTCTGTATGTGTGTGCGTGTCTAGCTCTGTGTGCTTGTGTCTATCTGTGTCCGTGTGCTTGTGTCTATATGTGTGTGAGCGTGTCGAGCTCTGTGTGCTTGTGTCTATATGTGTGTGTGCGTGTCTAGCTCTGTGTGCTTGTGTCTATCTGTGTGTGTGCTTGTGTCTATCTCTCTCCCTCTCTCTCTGTGTTATGTATCTGGCACATGTTGTTCCGTGACCACAAGCACATCTCAAGCAACCTCCTCCCCTTCCCTTTGTTTGCAGCTGTATGCGAACAACGTGCTTGGGCTCGCGGACCGTTTTATGGTGTCGTCGGGCCGGTCGACACAGCGAACCCACTTCCTTGACGTGCAACACACCATTCCTCTGTTCGCCGCATATTGGCAGCCACTCACCTTCCGCCTCTCAAAGGTTGGATTGGAGAGCTACTCCCTTGCTCATCATGACTACATGTGTGTGTGTGTGTGTGTGTGTGTGTGTCCTCTGGTCTGCATGTTTGCGTTTATGTGTGTGTGTATCTGGTTGGTTGGTGGACGGATGGATAGCTTGCACCGTCCTCGCTCACGTTGTGGGCTGGGTCATGTGAGCCGAATGTGGTCACGCGTACCAGTGCCCACACGGGCCACTACTCGCTCACGTACGCTACTGCTGCTGCTGTCGTTGCTTGTGATTGTCTGTCGGGCACACGTGTCAGCACTCCGTGGTGAGCTTGAGCCAGGGTCTGAAACAGGACAACCACACAGCCGCCGTTGAGCAGGCCTTCCTCTCCACTGCGGGATCCCACAAGCTCACACTTGAATCAAAGTGGCTGCACGTCCAGCCCTCGCAGACAGAGGTGCCCATGCTGTGTGCTTACTCCTGCATGCTTTGTTGCGAGCGTGGGACTTGTGGAGTTCATGTTTGGCTGCAACACACACACACACACACCCACACACTCACTCTCTCTCTCTCTCACTCACTCACTCACTCACTCACTCTCTCTCTCTCTCTCTCTCTCTCTCTCTCTCTCTCTCTCTCTCTCTCTCTCTCTCTCTCTCTCTCTCTCTCTCTCTCTCTCTCTCTCTCTCTTGTGCGCATCCTTCCACTGACACACACACACACGGCTTCCTTTGTAGCCGCCGTTTGAGGTTCGGGAAGCGTGCGGACATTTCCTCAACAACTCGCTCACGCATGAGTTTGTTGGAGACATGCGCAACCCGGCCACGCTGCAGGGGCTGCGGCTGCAGCACCTGTGCCGCTTGTCCGGCGGCCCGCTTGGGGGAAGCTTCAACTACATCAAGAACAACATTGAGGCCGACTACACCACCCGGCGCGTGCCTGCTCTTGGCGGAATGCACTTCAGGTTCTCCGCACGTGCAGGCCTCATCGCCCCCGTGCACATGGAACAGCTCGCTGCTCGCGCGCGCACGCTCCTCCACCGCCTCTCTTCCGACGCTGCTGATGCCCCGAAGCACACACACACCACGTCGCCCACCGCACCACCAGCACCAACACAGGCAACGCCGTCCCAGCACCCGCCGGCATCCGACGTGTGTGTTGCTGATCAGTTTCTCCTCGGTGGCAGCACAGACGTGCGCGGTTTCCAGCAGCACAGCATTGGCCCACGCCGCCGTGGCTTTGCTGCGGGCGCCAACGCGTATTGGGCCGTTGGCGCGCACGCGTACGCACCGCTCCCGCGCGGGCCGTGGCAGGAGAGGTTTGGCGACGTGCTGCGCATCCATGGCTTCATCACCGCAGGGTCCGCAGCAACAGAGGGGAGCTTGCAGGCAACGCGGCGGCGGCTGATGAGCAGTGTTGCTGTGTCGTGCGGCCTTGGGCTGTCAGTTGACTTCCAAACAGCGAGCTTAGAGCTGAGCTACTGCTTGCCACTTGTCTCCAGTACAGGCATCACATCACCGGGGCTGTGCATGGCCATTGGTGCCAACCTGTTGTAGAGTCTCCCTGTGTGCTCTTTGTGTGCGTGTGTATGTATGTGTGTGTGTGCACTTTGTGTGTGGTGTTGACATGAGTTGGTGCTTGAGACGGCGCGTTGGCTGTGCTGTTGCTTGAGCTTGTTCGTTCCTCTGGCTTCAATAGACGATGCGCCATCGCTGCACTTGTAAACACGACCGAAGCAGGCGACGGCCGGTCACGCTTGCTTGCGTGCAGCAGCATATGAAGGCGTGCAAGCTAAGCGTGAATGCACGCATGCACGCGCGAGAGTGCTGTGACTGAGGGGATAGTTGGGTACATTTGGATGCGATCGGGTTTGTCATGCATCACAGTTGTGTGCATGCCATGGCTTTGCTATCGGCCGTCAGGCAGTGTGTGTGTGTGTGTGTGTGTGTGTGTGTGTGTGTGTGTGTGTGTGTGTGTGTGTGTGTGTGTTTTGTGCCACAGTTGCTTCATCCAGTCATCCTGTGATATGTTGGGTGCATATAGGTACCCAACCCCAACCTGCCTCTGCCAAGCGACGTGAGCACACAACCAACTCAAGCAAGCACCTCGCCTCACACAGTGCGTGGGCATCTTGTGCTTGCTGCTTGTTGCCATCAGACCGTTGCTGCACTTCTCAGTTTCTCTCATGCCTGTTCCACTCCAAACTCAAAGAACCATCAATGTTCTCACAGACAACGTACATCATCGTGCTCGCACTGCTGAGCTTGCTCACGCTGTGCAGCTGCACTATCATGGGATGGCTCTTGAAAACGTGCGGTTTGTTGACATGCACGAGTGTATCTCCTTCTCACCTGCGGCTTCTGCTTTTCCAATGAGAGGGGTTGCACGGGTCTCCTTCCATATGCTCACACACATCACATGCCACATTACATGCAACACAAGCCCCCATTGTTCTTCAACTATCCCTTCTGCTGATCGTTTCCATCCCTCACAACATCACTGTGACCCTGAAAACACGCTCATTGTTCACACAGAACACACACATACACACACGCACGAAGACTCCCACAAGACACACACAAGAGAGATTCACATACACGAAGACACACGAAGTTATGCACACACACAGACACAGACACAGACACAGACACAGACACAGACACAAAAGCAGTGCGAAAGTCTGCAGTTTTTGTACTCACCTTTGCAAGTTTGCACTTGCATCGATCCTTGCGGACTGCCATGTTCTCATTTTGCAGGCGAGTGTGGTATGCACACCGCCGCCACCGCCGCCACCGCCGCCACCGCCGCCGCAATCGCCGTGGAGACGAAGAACTGCAGCCCATTGAGCACCACGACTACGACTTTGAAAACAGCGGCGCCCTGCAAGCCTGGCGCCGCATGTCAACGACCAGAAACATCTTCATGCTGGATCAAGGTGAGGTTGAGTAGAAAGAAAGGAAGGAAGGAAGCAATGGAGGGAGGGAAGTGGAAGCGATGAGCGCTTCACTGCAATGGGCTTGTGAAAGCGTCACGCGAGCCTTTGACACTCATGCCGCCACAAACATGTCATACTGTATTCGCTTGCATGCATGCAAGCAAGAAGAAGGCATGTTCAGTTCAGTATGAGCACGTGGCGCCCTTCTCACCTCTGATGTCTGCGACGCGCGATGCTTGCATGCAACAGGGCAGTGCTCCATCTGCCTCATGACGTACTTCATCGGCGATACAGTCCGGGTTAGAGCCAGCAATGTCGCAACTGCACCACAAATCATGTGTCTTCGCATCCCGTTGTAAACGAAGCTCACAACATGCACCCACGCCCAACGCAACCCACTCCCACCCACACTCACCCACACACACACACTCACTCACCCACACACACCATACCCTCGCAACATACATACCCACAGGTGTTGTCCTGCGAGCACGTCTTCCACGCACATTGCGTGGAGCTCTGGCTAAACACGGACCTTCCGCGGAGCAGATGCCCTCTGTGCAAGAGGGAGCACAGCTGGGCAATGCTCGCACAGCAACTCGAGGAGCGCAATAGCGCGGACAACGGCGACAGCGGTGGAAGCGGCAACAGGATGAGCCGTGATGGCGCCGACCAGCCCTCAGGCAGCAGCCGCAGCGATGCAGCAGGCGAGGTCCTAGAGGTCGAGGAACAGGTGGAAGGAACAGAGCCCGTGCGGGCCAGTTCCGGCGACGAGGAAGAGCACCACCAACCCGCACCGGGCTCAGACGCCCTGCCGCAAGAACGGCGTCATGACCAAGATGGTGGCGAGGAACTGGACGACAACAGCGGTGCCGAACAGGCTGCAACCCCGCAATTCCGCCACAACGCACATGCTGCTGTCCTCTGACATCCACGGCGCACCTCACCAACCTGTCGCCGCATCACCATCCCCTCCCCCCCACACACATCCATGGAGGTTGCAGTTCAACCATGATCACTCGTGTAGTTGAGAAATGATAAAACAGCAACCCAAGTAGCCGAGGGGCCCCTCAGCAAATCAAACCATTGAGCAGTCAACCGACATCAGTGAGAAAGTGTCAACGTGAAGTGCAGACCATGTAGGAACGCACATTGAAGCGACGCAAAGGGGCTTCTAAAACAAGCAAAAGAGACGGGAAGCAATACCGCACAGAGGAGCGCCTACAGATGCGGAGCAAGCAAGCAACACCAAGAAGACCAGGTAATGTAACACAAGCGATTGTGACGGCGTGATTCACACACACACGCCTCCAAAATAAGAAAAGGAGCCCTGAGCAAAGACATTCGCGCACAAGAGTAACGCACGGAAGTGGAGGAACCCGCGACACCCAAAGTATAAACAGAGGCCATGCAGTGCACAAGGGCAGGGTAGGCACAGCGGCAATCACAGCAGCGCTAGCGACATCAACAACAACAGCGATGACGGCACGCAGCAACACATGCGTGTAACGTCATGTCACATCACCTGCTAGACCTCCGTCGTGTACACAGCTACACCTGTCAATGCCAACATAGGAGTGATTGTGAGCTCTAGGCTCGTTACACAAGCACAGGCGAGCACGGTAACACGCGTGCACGCACTTGTGCCCAGCAAAGGCATGCACAGCAACAGCACCACATGACCAGCAACACAACTGACCACTCAACCAAAGCGACAATCTCGCAATCTGTGCACACACACACACACACACACACACACACACACACACACACAAGAGGCGTAGTGACCAACCGTCCTCCATTTCCAGCTCAACAGCGTATTTTGGTCGCTGGCCCACGGCAGCCTGGCCTGCTTGGCTGTCTTCGCGCTGTCGTTGGGGTCGCCGGCCGCGTCGCCGCCCCTTTGCGGCGCCACCACTGGACCTCGGAGCTCCGTCCGGGACACTGCCGCGCGGCGTTGACGAGGTGGACGAGGACGAATCCGACAGCTGCGCATGCGCGTGTGCATCAACGGCGCTCTGGTGGTGCTTTGTGTTTGAGGAGGATGACGACAATGTCGTCCCGCCGTCGGCTTTGTCCTCAGCTTGCTTCAAACGGCTGTCGTGGTGCTTGCCAGCGACCTGCTCCTGATCAGACGCTGACTCCTCCTCATCCTCGTCGTCATCGTCTCTGGACATGGTACGCAGACGGTCAAGGGCCCCCGAGGCGAACTCATCCATCTTATCCATGCGCACCAAGGGCTGGCTGCGACGGCGAGGGATCACGGCCAGGTTCTTGCTCTGCGTCACAACTGCCGCCTGTTCCCCGCGACTCAGCTTGCGAGGCCCTGCGGGCGAGTCCTTTCCGCCATGGCGGCCGTTGGTATCGCTGGTGTTACCAGCGCCAGCTGCCTTGTTCTTGTCTGGTGCACCTGATTGCCGCTGCTGGCCGTCCTTACTGGGTGACGACGACCCGCTGCTGCCCGAGCCATCTCCAGCGGCTTGTGTCTTATCACGCTGATTCAGCTCGTATTCCTTGCGTGCCTCCCACAAGGCCCTGTATTGTGGTCATAAAGAGAAAGAGGGAGGGGGAGAGAAAGTGCGTGCGCGTGTATGTGTGCGTGCGCGAGTATGTGTGCATGTGCGCGCGCGTGTGTGCATGTGCGCGCGCGTGTGTGCAAGTGTGAATGTGAGGTGTGCCAAAGTCACAGGTAGTAAACAGCAACAACAGCAAAGGCAATCAACGAAGGCACGCGATGTGACGCCAACGCGACAGTTGCCATGCGCAGGCAGCACAGCACAACAGCATGCACACGTACATGTTGGACTCGAGGTTGGTCATGAAGATGCCTTTGACATCGGGCGACACAAAATCGTTCCACTCCTTCCACAAGGGGTGGCACACAAAGCGCAGGAATCCGTACTGGAATGTGCATGTATGTGTGTGCGTGTGTATGTATGCGTGTATGTATGAGTAGGGTGTGCGTGAATGGATGAATGTATGCATGAATGCATGCATGCATGTGTGCGTGCACGTGGTTCGTACTTGCATAAAGCACACATGCTCAGAGCACAAAGCACACATGGCAAGAAGAGGAGCTTGGAACGCGTGAACATGGGCATTGTGGGTTTCGCAAGCACACGAACCTGGCCCGCGGGAACGGATCCTGCATCGCGGTCGTTGAGGTCGCCCACAGGCAATTTGCGCCGCTTCTCCTCATCGCCCTCGAGCCAGAACTCATTCAGTACACGATACGCCCACCTGTAGCACAGGTTCCAGGGCTTCGTGCACGCGGACAAGTCGGCGCAATGCAGCATGTACTCGAGCACAAACGAGCGATCCTTCAGTGTTGTCCTGTGATGGCAAGCATGGACACAAACAAGGTCAGGCCCAGACGCAAGACAAGCAGCAGATCTTTGTCCTCAACAAGCACACAGTTGCCTTTGCATGCTGCGCCGCAAGACAACGTGTAGCCCATGGCTGACACAACCAATGGGGAAACTCACTCGATGCTGAGGATGTCAGCAGGGACTTCCATGTGCTCGTATTCTTCCATCTGTAGTTGCAAAAGGGTACGCACACACAGAGACACACACATGCATCAAGTCAAGCAAGGTCAGAGCAGATGATTGGGGCGAAGCAATGTGTGTACAGCGACTGAGTCGTATGAAGGTGCACAGAGGGACATGGTTGCGTGACGAACACAACATCAGACCAGTGAAATGCGTCAAATTGCAGATGCGCACGCCACCCACCAGACTGGCGCTCTTGGATGAATAAGACATGAACGTCTCAATGTGTTTCTTGTGCAGCGTCATGTCCGTTCCCAGCACCATGTCAATGATCAGCCGTCGAATTGTCTGATGTGCCACAAGAAGGGGGGGGGGGTTTGCACGATGGTACCAGGGTATTGTATCAGTAAACGGACAGGCTTCTTGGAGGACAAGACCCAGAAAGAGCGAAATAGGTGGGGGCGTGGTTACAGTAGCGTGGATGTGGACAATTGACAGGAGCAGTCACTGGTGGAGCATAGTTGCGCACCTTCTTCTCCTCCGGCTTGAAATGGGCAAGAATGTCACAATCAGGGTGCTCCTTCATCAGTTGAAATGTCTGTTGGGATGTGTTGATATGGCACGGGTGTTGTGTGCCCATCATGTGAGCGCGCGATACAGATGAGTGCGGCACAGTGTGTGGGAGAGAGGTATGCATACACGGGCACGTTGACAAACGTATACACACACACGCAGGGGTACACACACACACACACACACACACACACACACACACACACACACACACACACACACACACACACACACACACACACACACACACACACACACACACGGGAGGAGGTACGCATGTACACGCACAGTCAGACAGAGACAAGAGTGAAGACAGGCCGTACTGTTGCAGCGTGGAAGTTTTCGAGCACGGAGCGGTCGTTGTAAAGGACGGCGAGATCATTCCCCGTCTTCATGAGGAACGAGTTGGTGTAGCCGGGATGGCCAACGTCGTGGACGCCAGCAGCAACGATGGCCGCAAAAGCCTGAACAACAAGGCACACAAACACACACACACACACACACACACACGCACACACACACACACACACACACACACACACACACGCACACACACACACACACACGCACGCACACACACACACACACACGCACACACACACACACACACGACATCAGTCCTTGGTCAGTGCGACAGAATGCGACTGTGGCAATGCAAGCGGCACCACAAAGGAATGGAGTGAGGAAACAGGATTGCGTGCGCGTGGCGGACAAGGCCACAACAAACCTCAGTCGGTGTAAAGTACGACACGGAGTCGAGGAGGCACGCCATGACATGCAACACGTCTGCACCATGGGTGTTTGTGTGGTAAAAGTTGACTGGGTGTGGCTTGTACATGCGCTCGATCCGGTGGAAGAAGCGTGCACACGTGTCCTGCCACGACAGCAAAAGGCGGACGAGACAAGGCCAGTGAGCATGCGCGAGCAAGCATTGTTAGAAGGATCAAGGGAACATAAGTTACAGATGTGACGGAACACAAGATTGAAAGGGTAAGGGAAGACAAGGGCGGAGAAAGGGATGTATGCACTCATGACATGTGCAGACACACACACACAGAGCCATGCACACACACACACACATGCACACACGCGCGCAATGACATGAAGAACGAACGATGTTGATGGGCAGCTTGTCGTTGAGTCTGCGGTCGCAGATGTGCTTGAGGCCAAGCCAGGTGAGAGGCGACGTTGTCGCGGATTCCAGTTTGAAGATGTCCAAGTCCCAGCGGTCAGAACGAAGCAGCAGCTCCATCACATCAGAGTTCTTCTTCTGCTCACGCCAAGCATATGACAAGGCGTGTCAGAAGAAGGCATTGGATTGCATGCATGCAACAAGTGGCATGTGCAGCGCACTTGGCACAGATCAGACAACCAAAGCTACCACACAAGAACATCGAGTCTCACACGCATGCGCACGCACGCACACGCACACGACGACATCCAGTCACACGCGCACACGCGCACTGCCACCCAGTCACACGCGCACAGATGAACAAATACCTGCACACGCACTGTCACCCACTCACGCACATACACCCCACACCCACCCACACCCAATCAAGCCATCATACAGACCTGCAGCGGAACAATGGACGTTTCCTCCATGGCCGCCAGGTGCTTCTTGAAACGGTCGAGGTTGTCGATGCGCGTGTCTTCGTCAACGACATTGTACTCGGCGCCGCCACGAATGTCCTGAAATGGCAAGTGGGACAATCACAAGCACCCCCCCCCAGCAATCCCGTTAGTCGAAATCCAACGAGAACAGGGTTGGTTGGGGCAGGTCAACATTGGTTTTCACGGGACGAAAGCACGAAGCACGCCGATAATTTGCACAAATCAAAACAAAGGCACGTGCCACACTGTGTCAAGTAAGGAAAGCCGGAAAACAATTCCGACTTACCACCACCGATAGCACCGACTGACAACCAAAACGACCAAACCAAACCCAACACACGGAACAATGCCAGAAACGAGCTCAGGGTCTGGAATGATACCTCGAGGGAGCGCTGCTTGAACCTGAGCAAACCAGCGCTGGCCAGCGGCTGCTTGCTGGCAGCGGCGGGCAGCGCCTTTGTCCGCCCACCGCGCCGGCGGCCCTTGGGGCTGCTCACTGTCATGGACCGGGTCATGTTGCGCGTGTGGGCGGTGTTGAGTGCTGCCGTCATCTGCTGCACCTTTGATTCGCGGCGCTCTGCCTCGTGCGTGGTATCAGTCTCTTCAGCGTCAGCAGCGGCTTTAGGGGAGGCTTCCTCGCTAGCGCCCTTCATGGTAGCGATGCGCTTGCTGACCGCCCGAGCCGTGGCCTGCAGGTCCTTCGGGGAAACGCTGCGTGCGCGTGGCGTTGCCTGGCTGCGGACCGATGCGCTGGGGCTGAGTTGCACGTCTTCGCCCTCGTCGCTGCCCACGGAGAAGCGAACGCTCGGTGTTGTCTTCTTCGTCTTCTGGCGCTGCTGCTGCTGTTGCCGCGTGTGCGTCTCGGGGGCCTTGCGCGCGTGCACGTCTTCGTCTTCAGTGCCGCTGGCAGCGATGTCGTCGTCGTCCTCTGGGCCGAGCTCCCGCCCAAACCCGACGTTGTCGTACGTGCCCTTGCTCATGCGAGGCTTGCGGGAGCTGCCTGCGGTGGCGGAGAAGCTTGATGCTGCGGATGAGTCAAACACATCCTTCTCCGAGGCGCAGCTCTGCACGCTGCTAAGCCTGGACGCGCGCTTTGGCTGCGCGTGCGGGGACCTCGTCTCGTGTCTGAACGTGGGAGAGCGCGGGGGCGTTGTTGTTGGGGAGGTGGGCTCGTTGACGTCAACCTCAACCTCCTCCTTCAGGGGGCCATAGCGTGGGCTCTGCCGGCGGTGGCCACGCGGCGAGCGGCGGTTGTTGCGCACGGCGTCTGCGCGGCTCATCCGCTCAAGGCGAGGCGAGGTGGTGGGCGACCTGCAAACGTGTGTATGTGTGTGAGTGCATACATGTACATGTGGTGCGATAAGTGAGTGAGTGCGTGTGCATGGGGGTGCGGTGCGGGTGAGTGCGTGAGTGAGCTTGCGTGGGCATGGAGGGGGGGGGGGGAGAAGTTCAGACATCGTACAGGTGCATCGTACAAATGCCAACAGTTCGATGTCAACGCTAACAGTCGACACTTCGTACATGAGCGGGGAGGGTGGGCGAGCGTGGTGCGATGCGGCTCGGCTGACGTTTGGGGAGGTGTCACCCCGCATGCTCACAGTGGCCTGAGTGTCTGATTGACGGCGCAAAGAGCGTTTCAGGCGGGTCTCAGATGTTGTGCGCCTGAGTACGCTACGCGACACCGGCCTGTTGAGAGTGAGTGAGGGAGTGCGTGTGTGTACGTGTGTGGGGGAGTGCGTGTGTGTGTGTATGTGTGGGGGAGTGCGTGTGTGTGTGTATGTGTGAGGGAGTGCGTGCGCGCACGCGTGTGTGTGGGGGAGTGCGTGCGTGTGTGCGTGCGTGTGTGTATGTGTGTGTGTGTGCGTGTGTGTATGTGTGTGTGTGTGTGTGTGTGTGTGTGTGTGTGTGTG